CATCTCAAAATGCTCCAACAAACCACTTATGAATCTGTTGACCCTTTGTGGAGGTACATCTGTTTGTAATTTCGTGTTTTTTGAACTTATGCTAAACTCTGCCCAAGACCTTCCTGTGGCTCAATTCCCTTCAGTGTAGACTCATTTTGATACTACTACATGTGTGCAAGTAGTAGAGTAGCAGTGAGTACCCTTCACACCTTTAACACCAGTCTGTTCGATGGCAGCACCCCCTACATATTCCCCTTTGTTATTTTTAGTTGGTATATGCATTCCTGGTCATATCCTCAGGTTTGCCCAGTATTATGCCTTGGACAATATACAGCTCTTTTACTACTTCAGGATTGAGGAGACGTTTTCTGAATTGTTGTTTAACAATTTATTGTATTACATTGTATTAATCTGCCTACCCTGCAAAGCACCATGAATTGATTACATTGTATTCTGCCTTCTGTAAACCAGTCACTCAATCCTTAGGATAGTTCAATGTGCAGGCGTATATGACAGTGCTGTCCATGAGGCGAAGAAGCCCTGTGATAAAATGTTAAAAACAACAGTGTTGATCCACTTGCATTTGCTTACCATGTTGAGCCATTGTGGTGTCTTCCCATGCAGCTTTGTATTTTAATGCTGCAGGATCATGTCTACCATGTACATGAGGATGCATTTGATGTTGATGGTGTTATGCACCAGGGGATGGGTGGCAACTTTGTATAGGTAGTGGAAGCATTCATTCCAGTGTTCATTGTAGACGAGACATCTGCCACCAACCACAAATCACTACTTGACTTCTGGTCCATTGGTCTGAATCTTATCCACAAGATATGTTGGAGGTGTTTCAAGGGTCCCAGGTGCATTTTCTCAAATGAAAATTTATCTAACAATTGCCAGAAAATAGCACAAAAATTAGAGAAAATTGGAATATGGTGCTCATTGTCAGCAATGATGTTATGAGTCCTCTGAGTTTATAAAAACACTAGTTTATTACCCTCTTTTCTCAAGGATTTTTTTACTACCTCTAACACTATTCTCCCATAAAAATTGATGGTTTGATGATGTAGAATAATGAACATTTCCTGAAAGGAAATATAGCAATAAAAATAGAAGACAAATCAGAAACAAATGGGGGGCAATGTGCACTATTGATGACAATGTTACATAGCATATTTTCAACTGAGGTTATTTGCACTTTTTGCATTAAAAATAGCAATAAGAAATTGAGGGAAAGTTACTGCTTGTGCAATATTGGGGAGCATGGTCAGAGTCCAGGAGAACTTTCCATATGTAGTAATCTACTTGAAATTAACTATAAAAGACTGGAAAAATTTAGAGAAAAATGGAGGATAATACTGATTGTTGCTTTCAATGTATATGTAGGTACTCTCTGTAGGTAAATGGAAATATACACTTTATCCAATGTAAAATAGCAATACTATATATATATATAGTTAATGGGTATAAATCTGATGGGCTTTCAGGAGGTGGTCACATGACTATTTTCCTAAATAATCAAAAATGTGAATGTTGTGGTGCTGCATTGTAGCTTCCTGAATATAAAAAGGACTCGTATCTGCCATGCTTGCAATGGCCCTCTTGCACAAGTCTTATTTTACTAACCTCATATATCTGTTCACCTTATATGTCTTTACACACGTCATGATCGAAATCAGGATGTTTTGAATGTTTGCCTACTTGATGGGTACATTTTTGCATATACATACAAATATAATGTCTGATCATGAATTAGAAAGGAGCTGATGACGGAAGAACAGATTAAAGCATTCAATGATCTGCAAACTGATCTGATTGGCCCAGAGGAAGAGGCTACCCTTGATCCACCAACACGGGATGAAAATGGAGTATTAAGGGGGGGAACATGGTTTGAAAGGACTGGCGCAGTTGGAATCAATGGAACCCGTTGCTATCCCATGGGTTCCACAACCCAGCGCACACGCGCTATGTGGAGTCCCCACTGGTTTGGCAAATTTTTTGACTTTATGGATGAGCAACTAGCTTTTAGAAAGAGGTTCATCAAGGTACCGTTATTCTGCTCAACAATTATTGCTACTTAAAAAGTTTATTAGCTACATGCTGAAATCGGTGCCCTTGCAATGAAGATTTGTCTTCCAAACCACATACAAGACCTCTATCAATGCTACACATCTGCGGCCAACATACCAAGACTAGGAGTTAAAGACAACTGTTATTTTCAAGCATTACAGCTGAATATTTCACCTGCAATACCTTGGGAGAGGCGTTTTGGTCATTATTTCAGTATAATTACTATGGCCATTTCTAATCCAGGGTTTTAGATACCTCCCTGGTGGGGATGGGGGTTTTTGGGCAAATGCATGGTCACCGTGACACTGGAGATGATCCTGCAGGTTATACCTGCATGATGTCCAACACCAATGTCCCAGAAGGTGGTGGAACTGAAATGGGAAGATTCTTTGTTCTGAACAATCTCATTTATGTGAAGATGGTTCGCTTTAGCTTGCCCATTTTCAATGGGCTCTTCTTGCATGGGGGCTCACCAATCATTCTTGGACATGGCGTCGAGTTGAAAAAAAACTTGTATCGGATCAATGCTGTTCTATATTCACCACGTTTCATGCTTTCTGGAGCTGGTCAATACTCTATTGGGTTTGCCAGTATGTTTGGACAACTCTTCAAATTGTCAACAGAGGCGACATCATTGCTGTGAGTAACAAAACATTAGCATCTGTCACAGAAAACTGAGAAAATCTAGCACCAATAAAGGGACAATAACAAGGGAGGCTAACTTTGTCCACGACGGTATAATTCTTATGGAACCTAAGTCATTGTTCAACTTTGTTGTCCGGGGCCTACTTCAAATTTCTGCCTATATTGTTCGTCAGCTTCCATTGCCTATGGGTGTACGAATAGACCAGGCAAAGTTTACATCTGCATTCACCATGCAAGACAATATGACAACCATCGCTGCTGAACCTTGGCCTGAAGCTCCAGATGGTTCGGTCTCTGATCTCATTTTACCAGGGGAGATTGAGGTTGACGGGATGGATCCATCTATCAAAGCAGCTCATATTCGCAAAAAAATCCACATGGAATGGATTGACCACAAAGCCAATATGGCCAGCTTTATACCATCCCAGTGGGGCCACGTTAAGGACTACACAGATACGACCAGCCAAGATACAGAAGTTGATAGGCCAAAACGTGAATGTCTTACCATTGTCAAATTGCTTCACACTTATGCTTTCTTATAGATGTGGGTGGTGGCATCAGCCAGGAAAAACAAGAATGAAGGTCAAAA